TGATTGGCACAGGACAGAGCGGAGTTTAGGGCTGTTGTACATAGGGTCGCTATGAGTCGCAGGCGACTCGACGGCACATAACAACAACAACATACAGTGGAATACTACACAGCACTGAAAACCAAGGAACTTGTAAAGCATTACATAGCATGGGGGACCCTGGAGGACATCATGCTGAGTGAAATATCTCAGTCACAAAAGGACAAACACTGCATGGCACCATTGTTAAAAATCAAGTCTGACATGGAGGGTTGGGAGGAGAATAGGATAAAAGTGGATAGATAACTGCCATTGCATTGGAACAGATGAAAGAAATGTCTAAAATGAATATATGATTAGGCATTATACATAAGACAACATCCCAGAATAAGGGGTATATCATTGCAAAGAGGACTGGAGGGAGGGGAGGTAATTGTTCAACAGTGAATGAATGTTAAAAAAAAAAGTGATCTGGGGAAGGGGGAAGGCAGTGCAAAGGGGTAAAGTGTGCAACAAATGAATGAATGAAAACCTAACTTCTCTGTAAATGTTCATTAAAATCACAATTAAAATAAAAGTTTATTTAAAAAAGGCTAATTGCAGTGCTTCTTATTTTAAGAAATGGAAAACAAAGAGGCCAAGGGAACAATGCTTTGTTAAAGGTTAAGCAGACCACTGTGGCCATCCCTATTGATTTTTGGTATCCCAAGTCTCATGGAGAACATCTGCTACTTTTCATTCACCCATCAACGGAAAAATCATTCTTCTCAGGAGTCACTTGTCAAGCTACTGAACAGAGAAAACAAACTAACACAGGGTAATCGCTGTTGTGCAGTTACTTTCTGGATTTGAGAGCTAGGAGGACAAAAGCACTCTGCTTTACTGTTCTGCGCCCATTCTCCTCCTCCCAATATAACTGATCAAGTCGTCCCTCAATGACGAAGCTGGAAGGATTCTCAACCCTGTTCTTTGTGTAATCGGGGAGTCATTGGAGGATCTGGGGTTTCATGATAAAATCTACTATTTTAAAAATTGTATAATTCAATCCCAGAAAGATTTAGGTACACAGCAGATAATAGCACAAGAAATTGAAAAGTCCACTGATTAGACAAGAGAAACAGCTTTAGCAGAAGGATAAGGACAGAATCATATTCTTAGGAAAGAAAGAAGGGAATGAAGAGTTAAGAAAGCAGAGGTTTAGCAAAGACTAACAGGGAGCTCTGGATATATGCACACCCATGTTTATTGTGGCTTTGTTCACAATAGCAAGGAGTTGAAAACAACCTAAGTGCCCATCAACAAATGACTGGATAGAGAAGCTGTGGTGTATTCACACAATGGAATACCACATTGCATTGAAAAACAAGCAACTCATGCAATATTATCCAAAATGGGTGATCCTGGAGGACATTACACTGAGTGAAATATCTCAGTCACAAAAGGACAAATACTGCACGGTGTCTCTGTTGTACAATGAGGCTGACATCGGGGTGGGGGTAAGACTGAGAAAGACTGGATAGATTATGTTTACTGCATTGAAGACGATGAGGGAAAGAATAGTTTAAAAGTAAAATATTTTAGGGCATTATGATTATTATAAGAGTCTGGAATGAGGGTTGCAGAGTGGAGTATACTCGGGGTGGGGTTGGGGGTGGGGGGTGCAGGGAGATTGAGTACCAATGAATTTGACTTTTCAAGGAGGGGAGCAAACTGTGGGGGTGGGGTGGGGTGGGCGGGGAGAAAAGTGCAACAATGAATGAATGGAATTCCAAAATCTCTGTAGATGTTCATTGAAATTAGTAAAACAAACAAACAAAACCAGGGAGATCTGGTTGGTGGTGGTGTCCTTAGAGAGCTGCATTGCTAACCTAGGAGTGGTGCCTCTCTGGAAGTTCAAGTCCACCAGCTGCTCTGAAGGAAAAAGACAGTCTCCTCTAGTGTAATTCACAGCCAGCTTTGGAAACCCAATGGGGGTACTGTTATGTGTTGGTTTTGAATTGGCGGCAATGAGAAAGAGGGGGGAAAAGAGATGAAAACGTAACTGAAAGGTCAAGCAAAAAGTCATCTTGACTTTAAGTGAAGGGAAATCTAGCTTCAGATCTCAAGCAGAAGAGAGTTGCTAAGAGGAAGCAAGTGACTTGTGTGGTCACACAAGGCTTTGTGGAGGGAAAAGCCCCCATATTTAAGTTGATGCTGTTGCCATTGTGCTGAAATTCTCAACAATGTCTGAACCAGGGGGCCCTTCACTTTCATTTTTTAAAAAGCCCAGCAAAAAGGGATCTGATTGGCTGATCCCTAGCCATGTAAAACAGTCCATCTCCTAAAGCCTGGAACCTGTGGTTTTGTTAATTTATTTGCCAAAGGATGTGGTGAGGTTAAGTTAAGGATCTTGAATGAGATTAGCCTGCATATCTGAGAGGGTACTTTTAAGAGGGCGAGTAAAGTTAGGGCCAGGGAAAGAAGGTGGTGTGACAGTGGAGAAAGGATAGAAGAGAGAAGGATAATGTGGTGTAGGAGTATGTGAGCTAAGTAATGCCTCTAGGGCTGAAACAGTCATAGGGACACAGTCTGGCTGACGCATCTGGATTTCTCACATCCAGAACTGTAAGAAATCTGCTTGTTTCAAGCCAATATATTTGTGATGATTTGTTAGATCAGCAACAGGAAATTCATACACACTAAAGACTGACCCTAGCCATGTATTTTCAGTTGCTTAAGATAATGTGAAATTTGGACTGTGAGTAAGGAAGACCAAAGAAGAATTGATGCCTCTGAGTGTGGTGTTGGAGAAGAGTACTGAATATCACATGAAATGCAAAACAAAACAAAACAAAAAACACAACCAAACACAAAAACAACCAAACCAAAAAACCAACAAACAAAAAACCAAAAAAAACAGAACCAAACAAATCTGTCTTGGAACAAGTGAAACTAGGGTTTTCCTTAGAGGCAAGGATGGTCAAACTTTGTCTCATATACATTGGGCATGTTGTCAGAAGGGGCCAGTCCTTGGAGAAGGACATCATTGCTGGGAAAGGTGGAAAGAGAGGACCACCTTAAAAAAATGGATTGACATAGAGGCTACAGCAATAGGTTTGAGTGTTGCAATCATGGAGATGGTACAAGATAAAGCATGGTTATGGTCTGTTTTCAGGGTTACTGTGAATTATTGTAAATTACATGAATCTAACAATATAAATATAAGATTACTAATTTTGAATTAAAACTGTGATTAAAAGTAACAACTCTCATTTACTGAGCACTTCCTGTATATGCAAAGCATTATACTAAGCCTTTACGAGGTAAGAAGCTGCGCTGCAATACCAAAGGTATGAGGTTCTAACCCATGGGAGAAAGGTGAGCCATCTCTTCCCAGGTGATTAACTGTCTCTGAAAACTCCAGAGTTTTGTTGGTCGGTTACGACTTGACAGTATACAACAACAACAGACCAGTATTTAAGGCATTGTTATATTAATTTTAATGATGAAGAAATTGAGGCTCAGTGAGCTTAAATACTATTTAAGGTCATGGGTTTTTAATTTATATTGGAATTGGGATCAGAGCTTCGTCTGTCACTCCAAATTTTTATTTGTTTATCCCAGTCCAAATCTTGTAATAAACTTGAGTTTGTCCTACTTCTTTAGTGCACATTATAATTAGAGATGTCAACACCGGAGCTGGGGCAGTGTTATATTAAGTAATAATCAAGCTGAATATGTTCTTTCTCAATAATGTGCAATAAATACTTTGTTGTTCTTCCACCAC